TTCTTCATGAACAACACAGACAAAATGAAACTCACAGGTCTTATTAATGACTGGGCCTACCACTCTCACTTATGGTTACTTCTGCTGAACGGTTTACCACAAGTTAACAAATAATGAACACACAAATTAGTGTAACACAACAGAATAATTGCTGAAAGATCAATGTTAACCAATTCCTTAAAATGATTTAACAACAACAAACATGAATCCTACCCACAATCCTCCACTGCAGTCACATGACAAACAGCCAAACACAGCAGAATGCTACAATATGCATTCCCTGTTCCCTGACAACTAAATATCACCTACATTATACTATTGCACACCAACAAATGTATTCAAGCAAAAGAAACCAGACAACTTATGTTTTACTTCGACCATGTCTTGTCCTCTCCTTGAAAAGTGAAGCAAGGGATTGAGGAGCAGCAGCCTTTGTGTGCATGCAGCCTCAGTTTCAGCCCAGAAGAGTGGAAGTTACTTAATATATTCATGTTTATCTGCTGTCCAGAAAATGCACTTAAATATTACTGGTAAAATAATATTAGCATTTACTTTTTTTGTACAGTAATATTGATATATAATATAATGCATATTGTTTATTTAGTAAATTCTAGTAGTTTAGAAATTTTGATATTTTTTGTAAAATTTAAAAGAATAAATAAATAAATGTTACTACACCCAAAAATCCTTTTTTTTCAATGTATCAACAAATGCTTTAAAAGAGTGAAAAAAAGGCTACAAATTGGATTTTATTAATTCCTTTTCCCAAAGTTACTGTAAATCTGTTATTACAGTTTGACAGGCAGTCAGTGTTTGGAAAACTATTTTAATCAAAACCACTAATGTCAAATTTTTAAAAGGAAAAATATTTATTTCAGTACGCTTTTGGTACATCTATATTTGTACAAACTTTAATGGAAGCACTTTTACTTATTGAGATATTAAGAGCTAAAAAAGACACCTATAGACACATCCAGGTCATAATCCTGTTTAAACTCAACAAACTTAATTCTATGGATTTTCAAGTGATCCGGTTATTTCATGCAGCTGAATCAAACAAACAGACAATCATCACAGTGTTGTCTGAATGTGTCACTGCTGAAGCTTCCTCAGACGTTATCTCACAGAGCCTCACCTGTCAGCGCTTCTTCACACACTCAGGTGTCAGCACATAAATATGGATTTAGTGRCTCCCAGCTTCGCTCTCATTCCAAACATTGTGTCGCAACACTGCAGAATTTAAAGACAAGTCATCATTCACCTCACATCCTCCCAAATTGTTGACAGTTTTATAACAGTTTGTGTTTCCAAATCTACCTGTGACATACAAAAAAGAAGCATCTACGTGTTATAGTTGTATACGATGTAAGTGCAATATTTACAAATGATGAATGTAATTCTGTACTTTTATTTTATGACTACACCATTTTTAAAAATGTTTATCTTTTTCTAGTACAGAAAGTTTACCCTCTATGGTACGATGTTGCCATTTGGCAACAAAMCTTTTGAGTTTCTTCCACACACACAGTGCCTCTAATTTTAAGATGTAGTGCAAAGAAAGTGAGATGGGATCCTAAGAGAACCAATAACAGTGTTTAAATTTGTCCCATGACTTCCTAGAGGGAAATGTGATGCACTTTTCTGCAGACCTCTTCGCAGGGAGGAACCTCACCATTTGACTGCTCAATAATCATCAAAAAACTATTTTCTTTACATTTTTTGAAGATGGAAAAAAGTACATAATCAGCTATCAGTGAATTAAGTTCACTATTCTGTGGTTTATTGCACTGTATTTGATYATTTAATAATGTTAAAGGGATCCCCGATTAGTTGTAACATTAAACTTTATTTGATAAACACATATTTTAACTGTAAAATAAAGACTAAAAATACTGTATGCTGTTTAGTTTTGTAAAATTTCAAAAATATATTTTAACATGGACGGAGCCATTTTATTTACACACAAAGCATTCTGGGTAAATGATGACGTGGGTAGATCATCAGTGCGAGGCTGCTAGCGAGCTATATCCACCCTGAAGGTTAATCTTGGACAATATCTGACGATCGTCTCTTTTAAATGAAACCAGAGAGCGTTGACAGAGAGGAGAAGGTAGAAATGACTCAGCCTGTAACTGAAAATATGGATGGAGGACAACAGAGCTGCTTCATGGAAGAAGAACCTCAGCTTAGCCTGTTAGTCTTTGTGCTAGCGCTGATGCTATATTGCCTTATATGTATTAGCGCAGTGCTAGCACAACAAACATGTTAAACTGAGGCCCTCAATCCATATTTTCAGTTACAGGCTGAGTCACTGTTGTGTTCCCCTCTCTGTTATGTGAATGGAGAACCTCAGTGATGAGAGGAAAATGTGTAGCGCTGAGCTAATACATATATATGGTGATGGCGTCTGGGCTAACGCTAAAGCTAACAGGTTAAGCTGAGGTTCTTCTTCCATGAAGCAGCTCTGTTGTCCTCCATCCATATTTTCAGTTACAGGCTGAGTCATTTCTACCTTCTCCTCTCTGTCAACGCTCTCTGGTTTCATTTAAAAGAGCCGATCGTCAGATATTGTCCAAGATTAACCTTCAGGGTGGATATAGCTCGCTAGCAGCCTCGCACTGATGACCTAGTTGATGTCATCATTTACCCAGAATGCTTTGCGTAAATAAAATGGCCCCGTCCATGTAATATATTTTTAAACTTTTAGTTTTAAAATGGTAAAACTAAAYAGCCTACAGTATTTTTATAGTTTTTATTTTACAGTTAAAATATAGGTTTATCAAATAAAGTCTAATGTTACAACTAATCGGGGATCACTTTAAACTGGTAAAATGTGGATGTTGCTGCACCATTAAGATTACCATTCTTTTGCTAGTCTGGCATGTTGAAGGCATGCTTAGAATCTACTATAATTTTGCATTTTATGAGTAATTTCCGTATTGCATATGCCTATAATTGACACTCTTTTCTTCCATATACAAAATGAAGGCAACACTGTTTTATAGTTTCTTACAAAAGGAAACCAAACTAAAGTTTCCTGTGGGTAGTGAGGATGAATCAGGATTTAGTGATGAAGAAAACGAGCAGCTTGCCACCCAGTAAGCTAAAGATAAAGGTGATGATGATTGAGACAGCAAGAATGATGAAGACTGAGCCAGAGAATGAGGACAATATAGGACAGTGGAGACAGTGAGGACAGAGGAGACAGTTACAGTTCACTGTGGATGAAAGTGCAACTATTATTTATGTGTTGCATTAAATTGGCAGGTTCATAACATACTAATACTATAGCTGGGAAGAGGAGCAGAAAGACCACTGCACCAGTTCCACCAGCAGATGGGCATTGGGACAAAAAATGTCCCTTGATCATGTTTACTTGGTCTGTTTTATGTAAAAAAAAGCATCCCAAACATTTTTTTCTAACTGGCATCATTATGCGTATCTTAGAGGGCAGCCTATTGATAGGTCTAAGGTCTCCATGGGCCATGTAATAGGTAGTGTATTTACAGTGATGTGTTGGATCATTTGAAACAGACTTCTGAGGAAAGGATATGAATAAATAATCTACTTGTTGTAAATATCTGAATGACCCAAGTTTGGTTGTGACCAGATGATCAGAGAAGTTTGAGCAGAGAGCAAACATTCAGCAGTCTCTGCACCGACACATACACAATCTATGCTCAGCACACATAAAGTCATGTAGTGACATAGAACTTGTTTGGTTACAAAACCAGCAACAAACTAAATGGTGTCATTCAAAAGTGTATGTTGTTTTTGAGAGAGTTATTTCATAAGCCAGATAAATAAGATAAATAATAAAAAAAATAAAATTGGTCCTAGTTTGGCTAGCCATTAGCCTGGACAAAGACTTTTGCCTTTATACCTCTTCATGAATCAATCAATCTCTTTATTTAGACACAATTATGGTCCATAAAAAAACAGACAAAACAAGAACAATAAAAAAGTAATAAAATAAAAATAAAAATAAATAAATAAAATTAATGATGAATGATGTCACGGTTGATAAGATGCATCACTTCAAAAATGACTGAACTATCCCTTTAAGATTGGATTTGTTTTAAAACCACAGAAATCAACATTGTTTTTTTAATTAAGTTTTTTCAAAGAGCTATACAGCAGGTAAGAGATTTATTGTTTACAACCGTTTGCACAGAAACCCAAGATCTCACCTATTCCTTTAAGMACATTTAGAAAKAAAGTGTATTAATCGAGTTTGAATTACTTTTCAAACAGGAATCTAAATCTTTTAGTTTTTCGAAGAACATATTACAGTATCATTAAGTCCGTTAATGTTRGGCTGTTGCTCTCATGTGGCAGATGTACACCCATGCACAACCCCCCACCCCTCCCCACTCCTACCCCTGCAGGAGAATCAGAGAAGTCCTGAGAGCCGCCGCTGGTTAAATGGTCAGCTTCAGAGCCTCATTACCTAATCACAGCACAGCCTCAGTTCAGATGCACATGGTCAAGAGAAGCCTGTCCTCCTTTACATAAAGGATGGTRTTCTTTTAATTCAAGCTAAATTTGGTGTCATRTTTCACATTTTTTACAAATAAGTTGAACATGTTGCTTTACAAGCTGACAAAATRAGCCTCTTTTGTTGCGTCTACAACTAGTTTTTGAGGCATTGTGATACATGAAACTGGTTCTTTACATCTCCAACTATTAGTAACATTTCTAAATGTATGATTGTGTTTGTTATGACTTCCCTGCAGCTCCCACAGTGCTTTGTATGTGGATGTCTATTTTTCCTCACATTCTCAGCAACAACTAACGATTTTTTTTTCTGAGCTGAATCACATCACTGTTTCACATTTGATCTCAGAAAGTCAATGTCATTGATTTTGTCTCTCTGATTCTGTGCTTTGTATTATATGTATTCACATGAATCAGAAGCATTGTTGTTGAAGAATGTTTTTCTTTTTTATTTTTTTTTCTAAACCATTTTTCTACCCCATGTTTGTGTCCTGWCTCTGCAGGAGCTTTTGAGGATGAGGATATCATCCACGTGGAGGGGACAGTGGACCCAGTGAGAGATATGGAGATCATCCACGAGGAGCTGAGGATGAAGGATGAGGAGATGATCGGCCCCATTATTGACAAGCTGGAGAAGACGGCCATTAGAGGCGGTGACAAGAAACTCAAACCAGAATATGTGAGTCAATGTCCCAGCAGGCCCTTTGCTCCCCCTCACAGCAAGGCACAAATAATAACCCTCCCACACACATGGCCGTGGAGAAAAAAGTATGTTTTTTTTAATCTCCCTCCAAGGTCTCACCCATCCCCCTGGACCATTTTTTCCCTCTCTGAGATTGAAAGTGATCAGGGGTCAGGGGTTTTCTGCTGTAGAAATCATTAATAGAGTGTTACTTATTCAGCTGCCGACCCCGGGTCGCAGCACTGGGCTAATGAAAGTGTTTCTACACGGCTCTTTTCATCTAAAGTAATACTCAAATCATGGCACCACTCTTGCTCATCCTTATACTCCTACAGCAGCTCGGGAAATTGTTTAAGGCCACACAAAGTGTGACACATCTGCCTATACCTCGCAACGAATACTGTAAATGTTTAGCATCTTCCTTGACAGAGCGACGTTCCACCTGTTCTCTGAGGTGCAGGTCGAAACGCAAGGCAAGCTGCAGAAAAAGGAGCAGAAAATTTCCCATCCTGCAAGTTGGATCAAAATGCTTGTGCATTCAGACACATTCGGATGCTTGTATTGCTGCTGTAATGAGGCYGGGAGAGCATCTTCAGCCACGATTTGCAAGAAGGCATGGATTGGTGCGCAACGAAGAGGTGGCCTTTCACTCGGAGCAGCATGCCCAATTTTTGGTCCCAACACGCCGAGGCTCTGACCACTCATTACACTAACGAGAAGGGCTATTTCACCTGCTGCAGGCACCCCCCCACGAGTGGTGGGTTTGCTTCAGATGCCCCACCCTCCCCTCCCTCCTCCCTCTCTCTCCTTTTCAGCCAGCAGCAGCACCTCCCTACATCCCTGCAGCCCCCACAGACAGAAGCCATTCAGGCCAAGCAGGTGGCCGCTTACTACCATAATTGCTAACAATTTTAGGCAATGAATAAAAATAATCTCCATTACTTGTCAAAGGTTGCGCACGCGTCGGCAAGTGAGGATCTATAGAAGGCCTCTCTCCGTGGTGAAGAATGGTGACTATCAAAGACGACTCTAAGCTTTTAGATGGGAGGGATTAAGTGATTGTGCCGGCTGAGATCTGGGTTGAACGTGCTCAGCTGTGCGCAGGCTCACGTGCACATGTTTATGTCTCCATCTATAGACAAAAAATTAAAAAAAAATCAAGAAAGTGGCTACACTGTAAAAAATGAAATGTTGGATTTACTTAACCATGTTATGTTACCTGGTTCCACTTAACTGAGTTGAGTAAATTTAAAGCAATATACCAGTTTTTTAACCAAAGAACATGAGYATGTTGCTTTGAATTTACTCAACTCAGTTAAGTGGAACCAGGTCACATAACATGGTTAAGTAAATCCAACATTTCATTTTTAGAGTGTATTCAAATAAAAGGGTGGAGTTACCTAAATTTTCCTCTTTGCTAAGTAAAAACCTTTGGAAATGCTCAGTCATTCTTAGTGTCATTAAAATTTATAAGCAGATTTAATTCAATTTTTATAAAAGTATTTTTGATGATTATTGCAAGTTTATTATTTTTTAACTAAGCTTTTTTAAGGAAAGGTGTTATTTAAACTATTTACACTCTCAGGCCTAATGACAAAAGTGGTGAAAATTGATTCTAGTGTTTATCATTAGATAAATAACAGATTTTACAAACTTGAAAAGGTGTGAAAAATACAGAAWGTATTTGAGTTTATGTCCATTTGTTGTTTTCATTGTTTTAAACATATTCGAGAGAACATATTAACAAAACGTCTATTAGGATGGTTGACTCTGAAAACAAAATAATAATTACGAATATTTGAACATCTTATGTGACGAAAACAGTTTGAAAAATCAAAAATTGTTCTAAAATAATCATTGTTCTGCTTCTTAATAAAACTCATCAAAGTTGCTCTAATTTGCTCTCTGGATAAAAAACCACTTGTTTTTCTGTTGTGAGTTTAGGATGAATATATGTGCACGCAGAGATGCAGAGCTCATATGTATGCTGGTTTGTAAATTCGTTTTGTGTGTTTTCAAGAACAATGTTTCATCATCTTTGTCCACACGGATCCTCGCAATCCCTCTCCTCACCAAACAATAATAAGAAACCGGCCCACCAGCGGCGCTTCATGGTGGCAAGCGTATGTGTTTGACCCCTGTGGGACCTATATGCCTTTTATTAACACCTGCCTGTTAGAGGAGCGCTGCAAGGCGGCTGCGAGCTGATGAGGGAAACCTGGAGCGGGTTCAGCCCGTGTCACCGGCCGTTTGCTGTTTCCATTTCACAGATGATTAATCTCTCTGTGAAGACTTGGGCCGGCGCAGGCGGAGTGTATGCAGCTCTTCCTGCGCGCTCTCCCGCTGGCTGCACTCTGGCTGCCTGACTAAAAGGCCTTTAGAATTCCTGCGGAGAGAGATGTGCAGAGAGTGAATGCAGCTGGCTGGGGGTCAGCGTGTGGAGCTTTTTTCTGCCATTGTGTAATTGAGGCTCGGGCAGGATTTTTTTCCTCAGTTCTTTCAAAAGAGAGTATGATTGTGAAGTGCTGTAAGGGGTTCGGGAGGGGGCTGGTGGTGGGGGGGGGGGGGGAAAAGGAGGTAGGGAGAGTGTTGCAGGGGGTGGGGGAGTTTTTATATGAAGGGGGAGGTCAAGTTGACAGGAACAAAAAGAATGTGTTCCGCTAATTTCTGTGGGGCTGGATCAACAATAATGGGCTCAATTTCTTTATTACAAATTTTATAAYGACCTCCCTCCCATTTTCCCACCCTTTTCCGCTTCCAGATCCTGTCAAGACCCAGTCCTGCCCGCGGTCTCAGCCCACAAGTGCCATCTGTAATGAATGCGGCATACGTCGCTGTAAACGCTCAATGTTTTCAGAAACAGCAAATAATTAGCACTGCACCTCACGAGTGCTCATTCAGTGTATCACTGTACGCTGTGCAAAGTGCCTGAGGAAGGGCCAATAATTTACACCTTACTAACCAACTTCCAWTTAGTTTCCCCCTCTTTCCAATTTCATCTCCCTTCCCTGTTCTTTTTATTAAACCGTCCCAGAGGAATATTAGTGCATAAAGCCGGGGCTCAGAGAGACACCCCAGAAGGYTTTTTTCTTGTCAGGATTTAAAGAAGCAAAGAGGGTCTTGTTCATGCCATCCCTGTCAAAGCCAGGCTACTCCTGCCTGAATGAGAGCAAAAGCCATTGTTCACTTTGGCATCAGGATGCCATGCATTTAGGAAATAATTACCCCATACCCTGCTGGGCTTATTCTTTTTCATCTCCTTTAATGGCTTCTTGTTCATTCTTTTTTAACCCTAAACAGGACGTTATGTGCAAAATAAAGAGCTGGGTTGTGGATGAAAAGAAGCACGTCCGCTACTATCATGATTGGAACGACAAGGAGGTAAGACTTTGATGTTTGATCACGTTGAATTTATTAGCGTGACTTTTCAAGGCATATGATTTCATACGACCTGTTTTCCTTCTTTCTGCAAAAACACAAACTAAAATGCATAGTTTTTTTGTTTAACTTTACTTATGTTGAAGCTAATAACATTTGGCCAAGCTGATCTTGATTTAAAGTCGTCATATCCCCCCCACCCCCACCCACAGTTCTTATAATTTCATTTAGCTTCATTTGGCTCTGTCTGCGTTGTCCTCAAAAGCCACTTTGGAAAATTGTGGATTCTCAGAACTTCTCTGGTTTTTTTTTTCTTTTTGGTTCTACAGATTGAAGTGCTGAACAAATACTTGTTTTTGACATCCAAACCAATGATCTACCTCGTTAATCTCTCTGAGAAAGACTACATAAGGAGGAAGAACAAATGGTAAGTGCTTGAAAGAAGAGAAGAAGGGGGGTAGACTTGTTGCACTCACTAATCACCACCACAGAGCTTTCCTTCTTCTTACACAAGGAGTTACATTTATTTTAACAAACTTTGACTAAGTCAGCGACACAAATTGTGTGCCCCCCGCCTCCCCCACCCAGCACACCCTCCTCCCCCCCGTGTGTTTTCATTATGAAACCAACTCCTGCTGGCAGAACCGTTCATATCTGTGAGAGAGGATCTGCCTGGAGGTGGCACTGAGTAAACTCCAACACAACATCCAGCTCTGCAAACTGTAACCGGCCCCCAGACTGCGCACTTCATTAGGCACGCACTGGCATATGGTCTTCATTTTCCCCCAACCAAATTTCTCATGTGATATCAAAGAGAAGGATGGTTTTCAGTGACAAAACAAGTACRTTTAAAGCCCAAACAAGTGATTAATACTGTCACGGAGACGACCGATGAATCACAGTGACAGATATTAACTGAAATATTTCGCTGCAGATGTTTGGTTTTGTCTTCACATGTTGTTGCTCTTGCTTTACAAGAATTTCTTTACAGCGATGAAACTTCCACGCCCTGCGAGACCGCTGAGAAAGTCTTGATAAATCGATGTACACTTAGTGTTTGTTTCAATCTAAACACAGAGCTCAGAACAACTTAAATATCAGAGGCACTTTCTGGTTGTTYAGTGAATCATTAAAGGAATGCATATCACCCACTGTCCTTCAGGCCAGAGTTTTAAACAGTAATCTTCTSTTRAGGAATGATGGAGTTGTAGCCATTTTGGCCAGACATTGAAAATATTAATGTTATCTTCATGCAAACCTATCCTCAGAGTATGTTTTTTTAATGATGCTCAGCTACTATAACTTAATATAGGTCAAYATCTGTGACTGAGTTAGAGATTTTTGTGTTTTGTTGACTTCAGAATCATTTYTGTAGTTTTATTAAAATTTGTCCACATTTGCCTTTCGGTGGCAGGTAAATAAAARTTATAAAGTGGTAGTTAATTTTTTTAAGTGGGGTTCTATTGAAAGTATATGAACAGACAATGTCTTACCTGTTGTAGATAATTTTTGAATAATCTTAGTTTAGAGAATTACGGGTTTTATTTTATTTTATTTTTGGACTGGACTTGCTCAACCTAATTGTGTCAAACTGAACAGAAATAAATTTTATTTCACCAAAATTTGGTTGCTACTCAAGCTATCTACAACAGGTAAGATGTTAATTGTTCGTAACCTTTTAACATAACCCTACATCAAAATTTCTGAACTGTTTCCTCTTCCTGTTCTTGCAGCACTGGGATCCTCTTCCTTGTCATAAACACACTTTATGTTGTCACCTGGCTGCAGAAAGCTGTTGTTTGACATTCACTGGGTTTTTAGGGCTACTCCCCCCCCCCCCACTACAGGTGTTTTGTCAATAATTTGGATTTTTATCACACTTTTCCTATTGGCCTCTGAGCTTACAGTGTTGTTTCTTTTTTTTAAACAAATTTTGTTTTAGTGCTTTACTTGGCAGCATTGTAATACAAGAGTTGTTTACCTGTGACTGTTAAAACGTTCCTGTCACAAAAGTATAACTGTCAGGTGGTGGGTGGAGTAAGAGCTCATAAATCAAATGATTCATGACAAGTGGAACATCCATCATCAGTAGGGAAATAGTTTTTCTCGCTCTTTTTTTTTCGTTTTGTGTGAGTGTGTGTGTGTTTTTTTAAGTGTGAAATGTCATAAATCTTCAAGCTTTTTTAAACAGGCAAACAGTAGTGCTCAGGTGTCCCGAGGGCTCTGCCATGAACAATGCCGACATCAAAGTGTTGACGTTTGACAAGTGATGAGTCACTTCCCGTGTCCAGAAAGGAGCTCACACCTGTATGGAGATGATTACAGGTAGATCTAGCTGGCCCTAATTGTACAATAAATGCTGCTCTCAGCCCTAATGGCAGCTAGTCTGCTGCAGAGACGCCAGACTGCCATTTGGCTGTCGCCATGCTCTCGTGTTTTTCCACCAGCGCAGTTGAGATGATGATACGGTTAAGAACTATTCAAAGCAAACAGCAAGACAAATTGCAATCTCAGCTTTAATGTGTCGAGGAAGAGACGGCGAATCGTAGAATTAGGCAAATAAGCCAATTTTTATCCATATCTCTCAGGACGTCCGTTCAGGCCATTCCACAGTTTCACTTTTTTTTTTTGGTATTATTTTATTTATTTATTTTTCTGGAGTGTTTTTATTTTTGAAGTGTTTCTTTGAGTGCATGCTTCCCAGCAAGGTTTAAGTCAATGTTATCAATTTTAGCAACATGCATCAGATACATTATTATTATTACGCCATCTTTTTGCACAAACAGATGATTACGTTTGCCTTTTTAACAGCTTCGGCCTCCAAAAGCAGATAAGATCATTTCGTTTGGAGGATGCGGAAACACATAGCAAGCGGCCCTTGTTTAGACAAGAATACACAGTATTAGCCTTAGCGAGCCATCATTAATGGAAGGATCAGACGAGGAGCAAGGCCTCCTTTCATCCTCAGGTTCTCTGCTGGAGACAGAACATCATTTACTGTTGAGAGGAGCACATGGCTCCAATCCTATACAGTTCATGTGTATGAGAATGCGTTCATGTGCATGTTTGAAGTCTGTTTCAGAGGCGACTCCACGCTCATTTGGATGCTGGTGTAATTGCAGTGCGGAGATCAAAGGCACGCGGGCCGAGTGATGTTCCAGAGGAGACTTTTACCACACAACCCTCTCCTCTGTGCAGAGGGGGGCCGCCTGCTGCTCACCGCTCCCCTCTCCCCTCCAGCCATACACTGCCCCCTGCACATCCCCGCTCATAAAAAATGATTAAGACTGCATTTGTCATGTGTTTATGACTGAGAGGCATTGCGTGATAGGGAATGGCATCTACAAGAGTCTATCGAGAGGCTTTTTTTCCCTTTTTCCCCACGGTTTGTGAGCTGTTTGGTCGACTGTTTCTCTGCACCACATACCAGAACTTGTGTGGTCATTAAAGCACTGTTGATGATGAGACGGCTGCAGTCTGTCAGCGTTGGCATCTGTCGCAGTCCCTCTAAAATATTCTGTATATTACAGCTATCACTTTTTGCATAGTTTAATGGGTTCGGTTAGCAGATATTTATTTAATCTTCCTCGGAGGACAAAGAGCAGCCACATTTTGYGATGCGGCAAAAGGCACCCTGGAGAATATTCCAGCTATATGCGTTGATGTTTTTCTTATTTGTCATTTCCTTTTTCTGTGTTTTTTTCTCCTTTTGGACAATGTGCATTAAAGTAAATTGGTGCCTCTTAAGTAGATGAGTTGACCTTTAAGGAAACCAGCAAGCGTGACCTGTCTGTGAGTGCTTCTGCMGAGTGGTTTCTCCCAGTGAGTGGAAGAACTGCAGGGTACCATCGCTTGSAGCTTTTATTAACTCTGTTGGTCTGGGTCTGTTTGTCTGTCTATATGCCAAGTGTGTGTGTGTATGTAGTATAGTTCTGTTTAGTTTGTGCAGACTTATTGCTGCTTTCCCAAACCTTTAATTGCAAACTTTTTGAACATCATCTCCCATCTAGTCTGTGCTACACTGGATACTTTACTGTTGTTATTCTTTATGATTTGTGTCAACATTTATGCACATATTATAGTTTTTTTCTTCAAGTATGCTTCATATTTGGTGAAATTTATCCATTTAATTATTTGAAGGAGGGTTTTGTTCAACTTAATTAGTGTGATCTTCACTAACGACTGATTTGTTTTCTACCCATCTAAACATTTTTCACTGTTTTTGCAAATAAAACATGTTTTAAACAATTTAAATTTAATGCTATAAGGGGCAGAAAGTCTTAAAATAACAAAAAGAGGAAATTTCTTGTTTTTGAAAAGAAGGATGAAAAAGTAAAATAGCTTAAATGATCAGTAAAGCCTGAGGATGAAATAATATTTTTGGCTTTCTTGGATCTGATACCCAGGTCTGCCTGCAGGAGGAGCTTTCACAATTAAAGCAAAAAGATGAAGCCAGCATTCTATGATTAGACTCTTAAACTATTTTTTTCAGTTTATTGATAAAGAATCAGGTTAAATTAGTAGTTTTATTTTACCTGATTTTTTAGGATGAATAATTTCCAATAAGATTCTGTGGCAAACAGAAGATAAATTGTTTTCAGTCAGTGTCAATACACAATGCACAGCAGCAACATTTATTTGTCTCCCATAAACTTTATTGCGACATTGAGTGCAAAACTGCTTGTTCCATCCAGGATCTTAGTAAGTACTATCTAAAAAGTTTAGTTTGAAACCCCTGCATCTCACATATAATCACTTCCTCTTTCCCGCTCTCTGCTGTGTGGGAATCTAAGAAACACTTTCCATGGCSGGCTGTGTACCTTACTGCCCACAGTGGGTCCTAATGGATGCCTTTAGTGAGCTTTCAGCGAAGGAAAACAACAGGAAAAGACGTATAGTGAAGTTGAAACAGATGGCAGCTCAGTTAACCTGGTTATTGACTGTCCCCAAGTTCAGGTAATGAAAGGACACATGTTGACACGTCACCCCATTGTCTTTGATGTGTTCTGTTGGGAGAAAGAGCTTGATGAGAATTTTTCTCTCCTTTTTTTTTGTTTTTTTTTGTTGTTTTTTTTTCCTTTCGCTTGTCTCCTGTTGAAGATCCGATACAGACTGTGACCTGTTCCTTTTTGATCAAACCGCACTCTGATGAAGACTGAGCGTGTCCCCTCACAGACCAGCAATGCATCCGTGCAGCAAGACGACGTGGATCCTTTCTCACCTGTAGAGCTTGTAGTTTGACATTTTGCAGACATAAAAGACGTCTGAGAGAGTTGAGTTTGTCTAATGGTAGACTTCTCCGGCTTTGTCGAGCAGCGCTTTTTATTTTCTCTCTGATAAGGTTAAGAGCAAACAGGCATGTCACAGTGAGTAGCCTGCAGCCTCGATGGCCCTAATGAGACAAATAAATGAATTAAGTGTTGCCACATAGAGCTCCTGAAAGCTTATTATCAAGATTATTATTGAACTGTTACGAAAAGGAGGGGGGGGGGGGAGAGAAAAAATAGATGTCGGACTGAAACGGGGGCATGATTGGCTGATGTTACATATGTCCTTGATTACCTTCCTTCGGCTTTTATTCTAATAAGTGGCATTCTTTGTACTCCCCGGGACAGCTAGACAGTCTGACACACGATGAGAATAAATATTGCATGTGGCAGACATTAAGCTGTCATCCTGGAAAAAAAAAGAAGAGATGGAGAAATCTGTGTGGTGTTCTTCGAAGCTACACTTTGCCTGCTCTTGTCACAATTGTCACATCCTGATGACTCCCCCCACCTTCCCCCTYCTCTCTCTCTCTCTTACTCTCTCTACCCCAGCCCCCCTTATTTTTTCTCGCCCAGTCAACCACCAAAAATGACAGCATGGATACTCCATATCAAAAAGTAAATAAATAAATGAATAAAATAAAAAATGGTGATGCACCATCTCCTTTGGGATGACCGACAATATGAGTTTGTTTAGTTTTTTTATTATTGTTAATATTCTCACTTCTCTCTTAAATAGGATGTATCTTTGATAATGTTGTCTCAGTGACAAAACTAAGTGGCAGCGGTTTGTTAAGTTTTTTTTTTCTGTCATGTGTGGACATGTAAAGTTGCGGGATTTAATGGGTGCAGTTATCAAAGAAAGCAAAGTTGTTAAAAAAAAGCTTGTTACCAGCACTCCCTCAAGGTTTGTTTGAGATACGATGTGAGATGATGCTCTTAATTAAAGCTGCTCCCATTGTGCGTGCGCCATGTTCAGTTTCCTCCAGCTTGTGATTGCTTTGAAGATGGAAAGAAGTTGATAATATTGGCGATAGTGTGTGTGTGTGTATGCGTGTGTGTGAATGTGTGTGTCACTTCCTTCCTCCTCCCYTCTCAGAGCCTGATGTGTAATGCCTTCCCATGCAGCTATGGCCACAGGGAGCAGAGAGTGTCTGCACWCTCGTCGCTCAGGAGCTCACCACTGGGAGGATGAAAAGCATCCCACAGAGTCCCTGACTTCCCAGCCTCMAAAGCCACCATGAGCTCATACCTCTCATTTCTGTCTCCCTTAAAAGAGGATGGAAAGAGAGAGAGGGGTGTGGGATAGCGTGTGCTGTGTGCTGCAGCATCCCAACCTTAAAAAGGTCCCATCCCTTTAATCTGGACCTAGCAGAACAGAAAAATCTCATAGCCTATGAACTGATAGAGGAGAAAATGTGTGAAAAGGCTTAGTGACCAGATTCAAGCAATAGTTTGTTGTTTTTTTTATATATGAGGTTATGTGGAATGATCATGAACAATCATTATCTTACCTGTTGCAGATAGCTCTTTGAACAACCTCACTTTCGAGAAATAGACTTGTTGCGCTGGTAAGCTAATGGAAGAGTGCAATACTGCCAACTTACACTCAAAAAACTGATTGTTGAATTTACTTAGCAAAGTTACAGCGGGTAAAATAAGTATTGAACACGTCAACATTTTTCTCAGTAAATATATTACTAGAGGTGCTAATGACATGAAATTTTCACCAGATG